CTGAGCCATGCAGACGGACTGATATGGATAAACTAAGAGGAGTATTTCAATTTTCTTATCTTCAAACCCCATCCATAAAAGTTAGCGGATGCAGAAAATTTAGTAATACAGTTCTAAGCGAATTTCTATTATTCTTCGTACGGATGTGAAAAAGAAGTACAACAAGCACTGCGAACAATAATAGTTTCTGCAACGCAGGATTTCGAAGACAGAATTCTCTCAGTACTACCCATGTTAATAGTCAGTTACAAAAACTTGCGTGTCTATGTCACTACACAAATTTGGAGTACAAATTATAATTCGTTGTCATTTTATTCTACATTTTCTAAACAAATACAAATAAATAAATATAAAAGTATTTTATAAGATCTATTCAATACAGAATTGAAAAATTCTACATCGAAAGATCCTAGTACGTTTGCACTTCAGATATGCGCGTAGGCTCCATGTTGATACGATTGAAGTAGGAGAGTTAACAGAAAAGAATCAGGTGACTTAAGTTTCACGAAAATTGTCAGCGTACGACTGACAGGCAACGGGCTACGGACTGGACGGCCGGGGTTCGATTCCCAGTAGCGGCAAATGATTTTTCTCTTCTCCACAATGCCCAGGCCGGCTCTGGGGGCCACCCAACATCATACACAGTGGATAAAGGGGACACTTTCCGCCGGGGATAAAGCGGCAGGGGTGTGAAGCTCACCACTCACCCCCCTCTAGTGCCAAGGTCCAGGATGGTGAAGCTATACTTCCACTCCACCACGAGTCTTCATAGCGTAGTGCATTGGTTGATTAACTGAGCACAGGGACAATTTTACCTTTACGATTGACAGGCAAAATATTTACCGGTAACTCTGGCTCCCGTAATTCAATGAATGAATGGACTGACAGATGTTAAAGTACAAATATCTTACCAATTTAATTCCGAAAAACGGTCTCACTTTCTTAGCCCCTAGGACTGTGACAGCCAACGCTCTTGTAGAAGAGTTAAATCACTCTTGTTCCATAGAGCGGTGGTAATCATCAGCACTTCATAAGGCTGCGAGGGGTGAGGGGAGCAGGGATACAATGTGTGACCAATCGAAACTCTGGGAGCCGCACAATCCGTCTGCATCATGTAATAACAGTAAAGCATCTCTTGTCAGGCACAGGGAAAGGTGATCTTCGTATCACTGTCAGAACACCGCCCCCCCTCCCTTGTCGTCACATGGTGCAATTAAGGCCCACATCCGATGACAGTGATTAGCAAACGAGTTGCAACTTTAATAAGATGGCAACGGCGCCGGGATGCAATTATAACCCCCATTCACATTCCAAGAGGGCCACACTGTATATACATACGTCCCACATGTTTCCCTCGTCATTATGTGAGTACATGTGTCTTTGGCATTGATTTTAATTCATAAAAATACTGTATGGTAAAGGTAAAGTCGGAGAAGTTCATGGAGGTAGGCCTAGGCCCACTGGGGCTGTAGTGCCAAGGAGGGAAAAAAAATGTAAAGTTGTTCCTGGTCGGTCACGGTAGCCGAGCGGTCTAAGGCATGCACTGTCTTCGCTCGCTCGGAAGCCGGGATCGTGGGTTCGAATCCCACTCAGGGCATGGATGTTTGTGTGCGTTTTTCTGTGTTTGTCTACAGGTAGAGGCCTTGCGACGAGCTGATCACTCGCTCAAGGAGTCCTAACGTATGTGTAAGATTGAGGAAAACCGAAGTGAACGGAGTTCATGGAGGTAGGCCTAGGCCCACTGGGGCTGTAGTGCCAAGAAAAAGAAATTGTTGTTCCTGTGCTTAACTAATTAATTTTCTTGACCTTGGAACTAGTTGAAGGTGAGTGATCAGCTTCACACCCCGACCGCTTTACCCCCGGAGAAAGAGCCTCCGGTAGCCACTAGATAGGAGGTTGGGTGGACCCCAGAGCCGGTCTGGACGACGTGGAGAAAAGAAAATTCTTGAGCCTACCAGGACTCGAACTCCGACTCCATGGTCGTCCAGCCCGTAGCCAGTCGCTATAGTGAGCTATCCCGGCTCCATAAATATATTGTGGTGAGACAATTAAAATCATCTTCATCTTCTGCGTCACACTCGCCATTTTCAGATTATTATGGATTTACTACTAACCCGTTCCTATTCAGAACTGAACCTGAAATCATGAATCATGAATGATTAATGGACGGACAGTCGTCCATCACTTGGCAGAACATCACACAACGAAATGCAGATATGCCCTGAGAGGAATTCGATCCCAGTATTCATGCATCCGAAGAACGAGCAGTCATTGTGATCGCCTATATTTCTTCCTCGTATAATTACATGTGCAGTGCCAGTAATTTAAATCTTGTAATGAAATCTCCTTCAAGCGTCCAAGCTCCTTTACAACAATCGCTATATCCTGTCACCAGACACACAACGTAATAAATTTCAGACATTAAACATGCGTTCCTCCTCACAATTCCATACCCTCGTGGCATGAGAAACAATCCCGTGACTCTGAAATGGGCACTTTCTCCTGATAGTCATTCCTACTGACCTGCATCGACCTAAATTTCGGCCCTACCCCTTTTGTCCTTGGCTATAAGCAATAGTCTTAAGATCTAAAAGTTTGAGACGATGGTACATTGGCAAAAATATTATGTTTTGGACATTATCCATCGTCTTGCCTTTATCTAAAAACCTTCTTGTTTATCTTACAAAACACAACGTTTCGGAGACTGGATTCTGGATTCTTCAGGTCCGGAGACAGGGACTAGCTCTATTGATTGGGCCCAATTGAGTATAGGTTTTACCTGAAGATGGAGAGAGAATCCAGTCTCCGAAACGTTGTTTTTTAAAAAAATAAGCAAGACGGTTTTTAGATAAAAACAAAACGATGGATAATGTAAAAAGACATAATAGTTGTAGCAATAGTCTTGCTTGGAACATGCCTACGTGGCCTAACCGATTCCTCACCCTACAAATTTCAGGCATGTACAAGGAGGCTGAATGTTCCTCCGAAACGCCGGTGTCCTTAGCATTAACTTTACACGTAATTTCGATTAAATTTACTAAAATTATAAATAACAAGTATTGTTTTTCTTTAAAAGAAATGGTTTATCACACTGCTTACAGTCCCTATTGGTCCCGATGGGAGACAGCAGCCACTCTCATTCCTCCCCCAGGGTTGAATGGACAGAAAACCTACATAACACGAACATTCACTCACCCTGGTTACTATCCGTCCTCTCGTCAGAGAGGACGCCATGCCACGAGAGAACTGTTAACTGTCTTGACAAGACAAAAATTTGGTCATGAGCCACAGAATGAGGCTCGACACCAAGACACACTGACTGGCTGATCGCCTATCAAAACGTCACTTTGAATTCGATCCTGCTTACTTAGACCCTTAAGATGAAGGCTGGCAACACAACACTGACCACTATTACTCGCAAATATTTACCCGACTCTTACATACCACTCGTAACACAGCGTCACAGTTATATTTACACCTTTTTTGACACCTTCACCGAACAAATTGGTTTCGAGGTAGCACATTGGACTTGTACTCGGAAAAAGCTCGGTTTCACTCTTGGCCGAACACGGGGCCATCTTTTCTGGGACTCTTCATGGCTTCCCTCAGTCTCCGTAGCCACATTCTGGGATAGTACCTCGGTCAGACCACGACCGCTTCCTTCCAAATTATCTCCCATTCATCGATCATCCGGACACCCGTCGCTATATTAAATAACCAACGACATCCCTCATCTCATTTGACATTTTCATAATAATCGTAAGAACTGATTCCACCCCTTCATAGCTACCGTAATGCCTTCATTCATGGTATTCTTAAAACCTCACTCGATGACTTCATGGTTATCTTAAACATGTTATTTGACGACTTCATGCTAAGATTAAAATCTTATTGGACCCTTCCTAGTCATTATAAATTTTCATTCGATAATCTATCACACTTGCTACCTTCATCTTGACCTTAGCTTCTTATCGATGTCTTCACAGATATCATAACATCTGATCTGACGCCTGCATGATAATCTTAATATCCATATCGACATATTTATAGAACTCATTTCATTCCATGTCTTCATAATTAACATTTCATCAAACCCTTCACATCAATCTTAGCTCATCATTCGATATCTTCACATTTCTCGCACTACCTCATCTAACGTAATGAATTTTAACATCTCCCATTCGCAGTAAACTAAACACCTCATTCTAAATTGTAATACACTTGGTCGTCGATTTACGAACGACTTCCGTTCTGACTGACAGCTCGTAAGTCGATTTGGTCGTATGTCGGCCATATATTTATTAACAGTATTTTTTAACCTTTCTAATCTTTTTATCATCTTTATAATTTATTTTTAAAAACTTTGACATTTTAATCATCTTTTATTTGTCATTTTTGTGGTCGTAAGTGCGGCCGGTCGTAAGTCGACGACGAAGTGTATTACCATTTCACTCGACGTCTTCATTGTCATCTGAACTTGTCATTCGAAGATTTCATAGACATCTCAACAACCTATTCGATGAAGAAAGCAGTCTTCTGGGATTTGGCACCGTGTATATGTGGTGTTAACCGACGTTTCGGAGGAACGTATCGCCTCCATCTTCAGAGTAGAAGAAAAAATATAATAATTCTGCAAGCGGAGAGACCGTGAGAACCTGTAAAAGCAGACTGTGTCTCTCCGCTTGCAGAATTCTTATATTTTTTCTTCTACCCTGAAGATGGAGGCGATACGTTCCTCCGAAACGTCGGTTAACACCACATATACACGGTGCCAAATCCCAGAAGACTGCTTTCTTCATAGTCACCGCCGTGAAAGCCTCAAATCTTACAACCTATTCGATGTTGGGCCCTCACGTTCATAACATACTAACATCTCACTGCAGGCTACATTTCCGTTCCAACATCTCATGCGACTCTGATCATAACGTTACGTCACGTCATTCGCTGCTAAATGACAATTTCAATTATCGTACCGCGTAATCTAAGCGACAGTGCCTTACCTTTCGTTGCGCAGAACATGGCGACGGCACGTGTGAAGCGCTGGCTGTCGTCACCGTGAGAAATAGTCATGGGTCCTGTGAGTGAGTGCACTACATGCTTATACCTCGAACATGTTACTCAACAACCATGGAGGGGAAAGGGGGTGGGGTGGAGAACGGGTTAAAGTTAAATCTATTAACATTCGACCTCGGCGACAGAAAGTATCTAAATATATACCTCAAAATGTACACTGTTAAAATTATGGGCCAGTAGAGATTTGCCGCACTCACGGGAATGGATCTTAAAACATTCTGATTTATATCAACAAACAGGCTCAGAAAGGCACATACTGGAGCTCTGCAGATTGCGAGTTTCATGTATGTATACATCATGTATTGATGTAAAAAATCCAGTTCCATTTCTTCGAATCAATTTATTCTTCTATCGTCCTCATGAATTTCCAGAAAATGGTCAGTAGTTCGTTCTTTCTTGGGGCCTAGGCCTGTACTTAACACTATGGCAACATTGCTTCTTATCTTCCGCACAACTGCTTCTGTACCATAAAGCACACTACCTCTCCCTGGAAGCAACAAACATCTTCGGAAGTTAATTTCTGCTGAATAATTTTCAAGAAACAACAATGGTTCAACTTCGGCAACATAAAGTTCATTTTTTATAATATTCTCTAAAATACTGCAAATAAACCTACTGTCCCTTCCTCTCGTTCTGCAGAGTCGCGGTCTCGGCTTTAGAAATGAAACGGGCAAGACGTGTAATTATTGTGTTACTCGCTATGCAGTACAAGCTTTTTCTTTTCGTAGTTCCTGCATTAAGGGTCGGGATAGCTCAGGACTTCGTACTGGAAAGCCCAGGTTAGATTCCTGACAATACAAGATTTTTCTTTTCTCTACAGTTCCAGACCGACACTGGGGCTATACCTCCACTCCCCTACAAGTCTTCATGGCATGGCGCTTAATTAATTAAGCATAGGGGGCATTTCCTTGCATCTTAATTTTTCCTCAACAACTTGCTTTTAGCCATTTGCAATTAATTTATTACCGCCAGATCTGAGGTTCTCTCAACAGTGACCATGAAGCATCTATCCTTCTGCCTTTTTTTTTTCACCCGCTTGGCACTACAGCCCAAGTGGGCCTAGGCCTACCTCCATGAACTTTTTCGTCCACCCTTCTGCCTTTACTTAACTCTATTTTCCTTTATTTTCGCACTTCCTTCCTTCTCTCTTTCTCTTCATTCTTCCTTCCGGAGTTCCGTCAGAACTTCACTCTTTCACAACAGTGTACGTGTGACGTTGCGCAGTGATGAGTATCCATCACACATGGTCTGTCAGGCTTGCCAACCCTCCTCGTGGTCGACCTTTAACTTTTCCGGCCCGCCTCTTCATATTATTCTGTACGACGTTGACGTGAAGTGTCTATGGAGCTATTACCTATTTCGAGTCAACAAAATATATCCTCCGTATTTTTAGCCTTTTATTAGTTTGTCCCCCAGGGTATGGGTCGTTCTTAGCTTGATTCTTCACGCAAATTGCAAAGCAATCACATTTCATTTCTTTCGATTATCTTCATACTTACCGTCCAAGTAAACCTGACCTGCTAGGACGGCGGTAGCTGTGGTTCGGTTGTGTAAGGATAGGTAACTCAGCTGGTAAAAGTTTGACTTTGAATAAACAAACACAGACATTAATGACTTAACGTGAAATAGTCAAAGAATATTCGGAAAAAATATCATAAAATAGGTTGAGTTCGTGTAGAATTTGTTAAAATTCTTTTAATTAACTCAGAATGACTGAAAATTTTATAAAAATTCATTAAATAATATAATAATTATCAGAAATTTGAAGGAATTTCTTAAATTAGAGTGAAATCTTTTATAATTTGGTTGAAAATCTTTATTTGAAAGTGAAAAAGTCAAAGAATTTTAGGTTAAAATTATATACATTTCGTTAAATTCGTTTAAATACAATTAAAATTCCTTAAGTGAGATTCAAACCCAGGATTCCAGCGTTCGAGCGAGCGAAAACAGTTCATGCCTTAGACCGCGCAGCCACTGTGATCGGCATTCTGGGCAGCTACAAGGGCTTTACTCTTAGAATCTCATCCATGCTGTGTGTTATTTGGGCTGATCCACAGTTCCTATTAGTTTGAACTGCGATAACGTCTTTAAATCATCCACGAACTCCCCCCCCATGAGAATCGCTACTCTTTTAACACTCGTACAGTTACGTAATAAAAAGAACAAACACCGGTGCCTACGGAAATACCGAAATTCGCAGCCATGCCCACAGACACTATTCTGTTCCATTAAAACACAGACTTCCTCTCTCCACATGGCTAGTGTGCACTGAACACGAAGTGTTTGCTGCTGAAACTCTTGTTGTTACAAAGATATTCTTCAAGAGGTTAGACCAGACAAGCAACAAACACTTCGTATAAGTACAGAACCCTACATGCAGACGGTCAAAAAGTAAAATCATTTGACGTAATCAGTTTCCTTACCACTGAAGCCTATGTTTGCTCCATGCATTAGCATATGTTTAGAACTCATGCATATATTTGGATGCCATGTTTACTTGCAGCTGTTTGATGACCCTCTAAGAAGGTTCACGTCTTTGTCACTAGCCACATCTCACAAACATCACGCTTACAGTCGCGCACAATAACAACTGACACCATTCGTTTTAACGCAGACGCCACGGATGTCTTCATTTCCTTAAACATTCTGAGTCGGTACAGAAACTGAAGTTGCGTCAACGGAAACGTCGTCATCGGAGTCGAGATTTAGATCTTGCGATCCATTCCGTTCCACGAATGAATACGTTAATCCTCCTACTGTGAATCTAATAATTGCTTCTGAATATGCTAGGGTCCCATTGTTTAAAATGATTCTAATTCGACCTATTTTTCTAAATGTTATCGTTAAAAATGATCCGGTCTAGAAAACCTCAAAATAACGGCCGTGGGGATTCGTTGCGCTGACCATGTGACACCCTCTATCCGCTGAAGTTGACACTAACTTCGTCAACAAGCGGTGGTCGCTCGGTTGGTATAGTTCGCTTGCGGACTAGAACCACGGGGTTAGTTTGTTTGTCTGTTTTCATCGTTAAGATGAATATTTTAAATTTATTTATCGCTATATTTCTAATCTGTTCCTATAACTGGAATTCTGACATATTTTTAAGAAAGTTAATTCCGCAGGTTTCTAAATTTTGTTTCCGTTCTCATTTTGGTGGTGGTAACCAATTTCAGAATTCTGTCCATGCTCGGCTAACCAGAATTTCATAAGACTTAATGTGTGTAAATCTCCCCGTCCTTTCATTACGAGTAAGTACTTCTGCTATCATCCGCGCTTATGGTTAAACTTACTCACCTTCGTTTCTGAATCCTTTTCAAACACTGAAATAATACACCCTAAGCAATTAAGATTATTTACTCGAAACAACAGGTTTATCATACATAACTCCTCAGTTTTTTTTATCTCGCGTGACGTTTTCCTTCACGGGCCATTACATTGATTTATGACTAGTTTATGGGATGGTTGAAGGAATAAAATTTCTTCGCCCGCTCAAACACTGGGATCGTGGGTTCGAATCCCAATGGAGGCATAGATGTCTGAGTTTATTCTGTGTTTGTGCTGTCCTGTGTAGATAGCGGCCTTTCGACGGGCTGCTCCCCCGTCCAAGGAGTCCTACCAACTGTCTCTGTGAGATTAAGAAACTGTAGTGAAACGGCGTTTCACGGATGGCACACGCTCCAGGTGGGAGCAACAGGAATTAAATTATAACAAATATGGTATGGATATCTGGGGAACGAGATTCGCTTCCCGGCAAGGGCAAGAGATTTCTGTCTTCACAGCATTCACACCGGCTCGAGAGCTCACTCAAGACTTCTATGTGACGGGTACCGGGGGCTGTTTCCCTAGGGGTAAAGCGGTAGGGGCGCTATACCTCCGCTCGCCCACCTGTCTTCCTGGCGTGGTTGATAATAAATTACGCATTAGGAACTTTTATTCTTTATAAATAAATTATAATTTTTTACTATTGTAATTATTCTTTGTTTAGCATTCTCCCGCGTTTATTCATTTCTATTGCTTTTTTCTCCTGATTCTCGGCAAAAAGAAAGTGAACTGAGTTCAGTACTGGTTTTAATTACTGTTGACTCTCGAAACATGTGCTTGAATCGTGCAGTGTGAATGGCATTTTATTGCATGCCTGTTGGTCCTGACTTTTATTGGCCCAACCCAGTGAAATACAGAAACGCAAAAAATGCGAGAACCTAAAATCTAACAAGAAGAAGTTCTGAGAAAAATTAATCGCCTACTATCATTTTATACGACACGGACAGCATAGAAAACGATGCCTTCACCAATTCTTCGTTGCCTTGACGCGGGAGCATCTTTACCGATTTGTTACCTAGGATCGATATGGGGATACACACAAATTATCCTTTACTAAGACACGGACTGCACAGAAAATGAAATGTCCAACAGTTCTTCCCTTGTTTCGCATATTAGTTGCCGTGGGAACGTGTTCACCGTGCCCTTGCCTAGCACCGAAAGAGGTATGAAGTTAACCGAGCGGTTGCCTTGCAGCTTTTGGAGGGATATACTCGTACACACAGACACAGGGTCTGGTGGGATGGACTTATGTAGTACGCCATTGAACTGGCCTCAGTTGCCATGATATACGTTAACAAGTTTCACATAAAGACTGGTTCATGCATTCACAGGTATATGGGTGAGGGTGTGAGGACACACAGACATACAGATAGGATGGAGTGCGCATGAGCAATTTTCCACAATCTATTAAAATGGCTTCATATATGATTAAAATTTAAAAAGTTGTCAGAATATCAATGAAAGAACAGTATATCTGCAAATTAAAGTGGCCTTTTAAGATCAAAACTAATGAAGTTTCTCTATGATCAATACATCCTTCAGTGTGACCAGATAAGAAATTCGCGGCCTCCTGTGGGGCCGCGGTTCCGACTTTGAGAAACGTTATTCTAGAGTCACAATTTAAAATAGACCTGTCATTTCACACGTGAAGCTTGTGGCACATACA